TCGAAAGAAGGAGCGGGAAGCCCCCGAGTCAAGAGTGAAGGTGTGAGAGGCCGGAGCCGACGTGGTACCTGAGAGAGCAGACTCACCCGCACCTGAGGAAGCAGACTCACTAGCACCTAGAGCAGCAGCCGTACCTGTACCTGGAGCAGGAGACTCACTAGCACCCAGAGCAGCAGCCTCACTAGCAGCTAGAGCAGCAGGCTCTATACCCGGGTTACGCGGTACGCACAGGTGACTCGCACGGTCAGCACTAGTAGGCAATGCATACATGGCAGTGAGAATAGCATCATAGTCAAGAGCAAATATATCTACCCTCTGCCTAAGCAACTCCACCTAGTTGGGGAGCTCAGCCTCGTCGCCAAACAAGGTACGCGAGGCGTCGCTCAGACGGGCGAAGCAGCGGGACTGTGTGTGACTAGGTGTCCCACAAGGCGCACCAGTCCGAGCACCAGTGCGAATCACGTAAGAGCAGCGAACAGAAGTGAGAGACCTTCTACTCTGAGCGTACCACTCATGAAGCTGTTGGGGCGTGAGAGACGCGCGTGGGCGTCGCTGGAGCTACATCTGGCCGCCGCTAGTAGTAGTAGCAGTAGTAGAGGTAGCAGTAGCAGCGCACCCCTACAACCCCAACCAGCGTACCGCTCACGCAGCTGCTGGGGCGTGAGGGACTCACGCGGACGTCGCTGGGCCTGCATCTAGCTCCGCCAGTAGAAGCAGGAGCTTGAGTAGCAACAGTAAGGCAGGCAGCCAGGCAGGCCGAAAGGGAGGCAGGCAGGCAAGCAGGCGGCGGGCAGCACGCTAGCAGGGGAGGGGCTCACCAGTGGCAAGAAGAGCAGGCTCGGCGACTTGGCGGTGCGGGCGGCTCGGGCGGCTCGGCGGCACGGCGGCTCGGCGGCACGGCGACTCGGCGGCTCGGGCGACTCGGGCGGCTCGGCGGCAACTACGGCTCGGCGACTCGGCGGCTCGGGCGACTCGGGCGGCTCGGCGGCAACTACGGCTCGGCGACTCGGCGGCTCGGGCGGCTCGGCGGTACGGCGGCTTGGCAGCAACTGCAGCTCGGCGGCTTGGGCGGCTCAGGTGGCGCTGCGGCTCGGGCGGCTCGGGTGGCTTGGGCGGCTCGGCAGCAGCTCGGCGGCGCCGGCGGCTCGGTGGTGACGGCGGGGCCGCTTGGGGACGGCGCCGGGGCCGGGTGGAGCGGAGACGGAGCCAGCAGAGGCGGCGCCGGGGCCGCAGGGTAGGCGACGGGGCCAGCAGAGGCGGCGCCGGGGCTGGGAAGGGCGGCGCCGGGGCTGCAGAGGTAGGCGACGGGGCCAGCAGAGGCGGCGCCGGGGCCAGGAAGGGCGGCACCGGGGCCGCAGAGGTTGGCGACGGGGCCAGCAGAGGCGGCGCCGGGGCTGGGAAGGGCGGCGTCGGGGCCAGCACAGGTGGCGCCGGGGCCGGGAAGGGCAGCGCCGGGGCCGCAGTGGTAGGCGACGGGGCCAGCAGAGGCGGGGCCGGGTCGGGGTAGGCGACGGGGCCAGCCGAGGTGGCGCCGGGGCCGGGAAGGGCAGAGCCGGGGCCGCAGGGGCAGGCGACGGGGCCAGCAGAGGCGGGGCCGGGTCGGGAAGGGCGGCATCGGGGTTGCCGGGGTAGGCGACGGGGCCAGCCGAGGTGGTGCCGGGGCCGGGAAGGGCGGAGCCGGGGCCGGGATGGGCGGCGCCGGGGCCGCAGAGGTAGGTGACGGGGCCGCTAGGGCGGCGGATCGGAGCTGCGAGGGCGGCGCGACGCGGCCGCTAGGGCGGCGCGGCGAGATGGGGCCACGAGGGGTCGCGCGCGGCTCCCTTGGGCGCTGCGACGGGGTAGCGGGGAGTGGCGCACCTGGAAGGAACGGGGCCGCGCGCCTCGGGGCGCGCGCCAGAGAGAAAATCGCCGCGCGGCGTGCGTCAGATCGAGTAGCAGCGGAAGCAGTAGTAGGGCCCACAGGCCAGGAGCATATGTGCTATGGAACCATGTGAAAATGAACGAGAATGGATCAACTATGAAAGAGTTGGGTACAAGTACTAACCCCAATTGGGTTGTACCCCTTATGGGCTACCTCACTATAGCCTACACAAAAGCATAAGCTATGATGTTCTGACAAACCCGAACGGCATCATTGTGTACTCGTAACTGCCATAGCGGGTGCGAAACGCAGTCTTCGGGCAGTCGTCGGCGAACACGCGAATTTGGTGACAGCCACCTCACAACTCGATTTTCGAGAAGAAGCGAGCCCCACGAAGCTGATCCAGCAGGTCGTCCGCTCGTGGGATCGGGTAGCGTGACTTGATCGTGACCCGGTTCAACGCTCGATAGTCGATGCACATGCGCAGGCCTTCATCCTTTTTCGGTGTGAACAGTATCGGGGCGGCGTATGGTGACGTGCTCAGCCGGATAAAACCCTTCGAAAGCAGATAATCCAGCCGTTTCCGCAACTTGTCGAGCTCCGGTTGGCTGAGCCGCCACTGTGACCGAACAGTTGGTTTTGCGCCTGGCTCCAGCTCGATTCTGTGGTCCTCTGGACGTTGAGGTGGCAGCCCGTCAGGCAGGTCATCCGCGAAGATTTCGGGATACCTCCGAATTATGCTTGCCACGTCGTTGGGTACAGCAGCGCAGAGCGTGTCGATGTCGGCGATATTTTCGAAAGCCACCACCTCGTACAGCTGTACGGCGTAGCCTTGCGCTCCCCGTTTTATCGCCCTCTTCATCGTTATTGCATTGACACGTGTTGTCATCGGCTCCGGCTCCGCCCATTTCGGAAGTGTCACGCGCCCCTTGTTGCACAGCACCGTGATCGCTTCCGTCGTCCAGTCGATCGTCGGATTGAAACGCTGTAGCCAATCTCGTCCCAGCAGCACATCGCAACCGTCCAGTGTTGTCGCCAGCATTCGCATTGAAAACCCGAAATCATTGCCACACTTCATCCGAATTTGTCGGACCTCGTCTTTTATCGCCAGCGGTGTCCCGTCCACTAGTCGCGCGTCAATCTCGGGCAGACACCTGTCCAGTTTGACCCCTATTTTTTTGGTCGTTGCCAGGTTGACGAGACTGTGGCTCGCCCCACCGTCAACGAATAATTTTATTTTATAGCCGTTAACCCTCCCCACGACCAGCACAGGGTGATCCACGTGTTCGTCCACCTTACTCGTCCGGTTGCGGTCGATAGCCCGTATCGGTACCACCACTCGGTGTGGATGTTGATTGCCGGGCAACGGGGTCTCGTTAGTAGGTGGCCCGACTGCTACTGACTCGTCTCTTTTCCCGACCCCTCTCCGTCGTTCCTGTTTCCCTGTTTCAGCTTCGGGCAGTCCTTCTTCTAGTGGCCCGGTTGGTTGCAGTTGAAGCACGTGTTAGGTCCACGTCTCGGTGCATCCACCCCGTTGATTGTGGGCTGGCGCGGCGGTCCACGAAATTAAGTGCCCTCCCGGGAACTCATTCTCGCCCATTGCATCAGCGCATCCGTTGATTCAGCCACCTAGACGGCATCGAGAAAATCGCGTGGCCACGTCCATCGCACCTCGTACTGTATTTCGTACTTGAGGCCTGCGACATATTGGTCGAGTCATTCCGCGTCGCTCATATCGTCCACTTGGTTAGCCAAATTGCAGAATGTTGCCGTGTAATCTTGGACCGACGCCACCTTCTTCCAGGTGCGCAGCTTCATGCAAGCAGAATCCGAGGCGGATACATGCTCGAATCTGGTTCGCAGCGAGGCGCCCCACTGCGTCCATCTGCGTATCGTGGCTACTCCGAAGATTGAAGTTGCCTGTTGCGTGGCAGTTGTCCAGGTCCCGTCGTTCGCACGTGACATCCCTGCCGGAGTCCCCCCTGTCTGAAGAGTCCGCTTCCACCACTCCAACGCCGGCCCTCATAATAGTGACACTGCAAAATTAATGCAGGTAGCATCGTCAGCAATTTGTGCAGCATTGAAAAACACCTCCACTCCAAACAACCATGCCGACACAGTGACGCTTTTGTCGCTGGGGCTGAACGGGGGTGGGTTCGTCGGTTTTATTTTAACAGTTGTTGAGACTGTTGCTGCTGCATGCATCGGGGGCGCCACTGAAGCCATCACCACGGTTGTCGCTGTTGCCTGACGTGGTGTAGTTTGCGACTGTTGCCTCGGCGCCGCTCGTGTCTGTTGCTGCGGCTGTGACTGTTGTTCCTGCGTCCCTTCTGCTTGTTGCATCCGTGCCGTCCACTCATCTTCAGCGTCCAGCGAGTCCTGTAGCTCGCTAAGGACCTCGTCGTTAGGCGCGAAGCTGCTACTTGCTTCATCCACGGCGGCTGACTCCTGACGCGCTTCACCTCGCGTCTGGCGTAGCTCGGCGTTTTCCTCCCTCAGGCGCTCCAACTCGCCAGACATAGTCTGCATGTTGGATTGCATCGCCTAAAAGTCCTGCAAAAACACATCAAACTCTGCTTGTGTCATGTTTCGGAGACTCATCCTAGCGGGCAGTGGGTTAACAGCGATTTTTATGGTTTTGATGAAGGCGCAAACGCTATTAGTCGGAGCGAGATAATCGTATCTATCTCTCAGCCGACCGCTTTGCAGCCCACCAAACCTATCGCACCCCTGCACTAAAACTACCCTGGAAAGTGGAGGGTAACCTAGGAAAGTAGCTCTGATACCAGGTGTTATGAGTTGTATGAAAGAAGAGTGCGAAGAATGCAATATCGCGGAAGTGATTACAACTACTGAGCAAACAACGAGGCCTAGGTATAATATAGCACATCTAGCTAGGCTGAAGGTCGCGGAGTCGCGCGAAGGTTGGGTGCAGGTTTGGGGTTGGGCAACCCGAGGGCGACGCGGGAAACGTTCGGAAGGCGAGGTCGTCAGACCGAGCCTGAATTCCGAAAGTTGGAATTGTACGCGTAAGAGATGCCTCAGTAAGGAATGAACGAAATTCCTTACAGGTTGGGTGGGCTTGTAATTTGGTAACCACCATGTACCTTTTATAAACTTTTGGCACTAGCCTTGCCAAATGTATACCGCTGCTTTCCCATCTCGCACAGTTGTCACCCTCCCTTCTCTCCCCCCAATGATCACCCTCCTTCTCCGCCCTGCTTCCCCCCTCCCTATGCTTTGCTTCCCCCCTCCCTCCGCCCTGCTTCCCCCCTCCCTATGCGCTACTTCCCCCCTCCCTCCGCCCTGCTTCCCCCCTCCCTCCGCCCTGCTTCCCCCCTCCCTATGCCCTGCTTCCCCCCTCCCTCCGCCCTGCGTCCCCCCTCCCTATGCTCTGCTTCCCCCCTCCCTCCGCCCTGCTTCCCCCCTCCCTATGCCCCTCTTCCCCCCTCCCTCCGCCCTGATTCCCCCCTCCCTCCGCCCTGCTTCCCCCTCCCTCCGCCCTGCTTCCCCCCTCCCTCCGCCCTGCTTCCCCCACCCTCAGAGAGGTGAGCGCCACGCACCACATGAGCATTTGATTTCCCCGGCCTGCCCCTCCTCTCCCTCAATCTCACCATCTTTCCTCTCCCTCCCCATGTGCCTCTCCTCTCCCTCCCCTGTACATTCGCAAAGAGGAGGGAGGACGCACGCGCTACAAGGGGGTAGCGCAGCAGACTTGGGAATAAGCCCAGTTTTTCTTTCTCCCCCTCTTCCTGCCTCCACCCAACTCCTTGCAAACCTATTTGGACTGCATGCACATTCGCAAGGAGGAGGGGGGGGGGCGCAGGTGCAACTAGGGGGTAGCGCAACAGCCTTGGGAGCGATCTCACGTTCCCCCTCCCCCACGATCTCTCCTCTTCCCTTCTCATTCCAGACCTATTTGGATCCCGTTCATATTCACAAGGAGTAGGGCGAGCGCACGGGCAACAACGAGACAACGCAGCAGTTGCGATCACAGCCGCTGGCAACATCTGGTGATGCTGCCGGTACCAACCTTGATGCTGCCTACTTCTCACCTCCGTAGGTACAGATGGCTAGGTTTTGCCTTTTGAGACGTCGCAAAAGGCGCAGCACAGCAGGGAGGCAGTCGCAATCGCCGCCTCTCCGATCCTCCTCGTTGCCCTGCCTAGCTCTGTCATACTGCCCCTTTTCCTCCCTCCCTCCTTCCTGCAACCCCCTCCCGTTCTTTCCCGCATCGCCAATACTTCTTGTTCCCTGTATTCTTGACCCCCCCTTCACTGCTTTTCCTATTGTCACTCCTGAACACTTTCCCACCGCCTGCATTCTCCTAACATACCCTCCTACCCACCACAGACCATGATATCACAACCCTTTTTTCTCTTCCTCCCATCATCTCCACCCTCCCTCCCTTGATCCGTCCCTCTTACTCGCACAATAACACCGACTATCCTTCTCTCTCTTTCTCTCATTGTGTGTCTCCCTCTATAGCTCCCTCTCTTCGTCTCCCCCTCTCGCCATCTCCACCTCTCTCCCTCTCTACCTCGCTCCCTATCCCCCTCTCTCCATCTCTCCCTCTCTCCCTCTTTCGTACTCTGGTGGGTAGGTGAATGGAGGGCTGCTGATTCCCATGGACGCATGGTCCCTGCTTCACAAGCCCTCGCCTCACACTCTCCATGTTTCCTTTGTTTACCTTTTTTCCCGCACAACCAAACCCCCTTTTTCCTGCCCTTGCACTCCCATTCTTCCTCGCACTTATCATATCCACACCTACCATCTTCCTCTGTCTTCTTGCCCCCCCACCTCTCCTTCCCGCCTCCCAATCTCCCTTTCATGCCTTCCCACCTTTCCACCCATCGCTCATCCCTTTGTTTCCACTTCAAGCAAGACTGGTTCGGGCTCAGAGGAGTTAGCAGCGTAAAGGGAGCAGCAGCAGGCACAAGAAAGTGTTGAGTGAACCCTGAACAATTAGAGCGGAGGACAACACTCGCATCTACCTTGAAATGTGTACACCATATTGCACAAGTTGCATACCTCAGTGCTGTGCCTAGTTGCATCATGTAACAATGCTTTATCTATAGATGTAAGGTTTGCAAATTACAGATGTTATCTACGTCATCAAAGCTATTACATGCGCTGGAAATCTTGAATGCACTGTTGTAATATGCTATCAGATCGTTTGATTGATACACTAATGCCACACACAAGCTGGTACAACTGTATACAGGTATTTGGTTCCACCAAGGTGCAAAGAGCCCCACTCAAGAACAAGAGGGCTGGATGTCTATTGTGGTGCTGTCGAGGAAAAAAAACAGAAAGGAGAGGAGAAAAAGAAGGTAAGCTGGAGGGTTAGGAAGGGTGAGCAGGGGGGAGGAAGGCTAGCACGGGGGAAAGGAAGAGTAAGCAAGGGGTGACCATAATGAACAAGGGGACATTGGAAGAGGGAGGAGAGGGAAGGGAGGGGCGTAAGGGGGTGGAGAGGAACAGGGCAAGAAGCCAAGGAAAATGAAGGAAATGAGAGGGAGAAATTAGGGGAAGGAGAGGGCTGGAAATGACGGGAATCAAGGATGGAAAGGAGGGGAAGCAGGGGCGGATAGGAGGGGAAGCAGGGGCAGAAAGGAGGGGAAGCAGGGGCAGAAAGGAGGGGAAGCAGGGGGGGAAGGAGGGGAAGCAGGTGGAGAAAGGAGGGGAAGCAGGGGCGGAAAGGAGGGGAAGAAGGGGCAGAAAGGAGGGGAAGCAGGGGCGGAAAGGAGGGGTAGAAGGGGCGGAAAGGAGGGGAAGCAGGGGCGGAAAGGAGGGGAAGCAGGGGGGGAAAGGAGGGGAAGCAGGTGGGGAAAGGAGAGGAAGCAGGGGGGGGGAAAGGAGGGGAAGCGCGGGCGGAAAGGAAGGGAAGTAGGGGGAGAAAGGAGCGTGTGCTGCGTGTCGCCAACAGCGCACGCTGCTCGTCGCCCGGGCTCCACTGCTTATAGTCGCGCGGTCATGCGGGCTGCTCGTCACCCGGTGCACGCTCTGCGCGTCGCCCGGTGCGCCGCTGCGCGTTGCCTGGAACGTGAGCTGCTACTAGATGCCTGGAGCGACCCGCAATTTGGGCTGCGGGCTTTTAATGCATCAAATTGTACATTTCCGTCTTGTAAGTTCAATCGAGTCGACATTTTATAATGTCCTGAATATGAATCGCGTGAGGGCGAATCTCTGGCTGCACATAGCTTTTCCACATCAATTTGCCCGCGTGCCACCTCATCCTGACTGGACGCGAAACCAGTCAGGAACTTGAAAGTCAAACAAAGTGAAAATGGGTGCTGACTCGCTTGAAATTCGAATTTCGTGACTTTTTTAATCAGGATTGAAAGAATAAAATTATGCATGCGCTTATAATAAATCGGGGTTTTACAGGGGGGGCACTCATAATCGAGGAACGGCCATTAGCGCCATGCTCCAGATATAGGCGCCGGCGCCTTTAATCGGACGGCGCCTATATCCGGGGCCATACGTCATATTGATTTGAGTAGGGTATATCTACACTTAGCCTGTTTTCAATGTTGTTTTGTCCTTGAATTAGTTCCATAAGTAAAAACAATGGCTGGTAGTGCATGGCTGATACAGCAGCAATGTGACTGCAATTTGATGCGTCAAGGATAGCACTATCCTTAACGCGCAACTCTGCTCAGCTGGTAGTGGGCGTGGTGTGGTGTCAGACCATGCGGGGGTGCGTTGGCAGTCCATTGGGCAAAACAACCAATAAGGCGACACTTGTCAAAATCCCAGTCACTAGACCACTGGGATAAAAGGGCTTGTTAAGTAGTGGGTCAGTGAGTGTGCCCATAAACCCCCAGGCTAGCGTGTCAAGATAGCAAGCATGAATGGATACATTGAATGAAATGTGGGTACAAGTAGTAACCCTAAATTTGGGTTGTACCCCATATGGGGTAACGCTGCTGCAACTCTCGAGCCAGGAAGTAACGCAGAGCAATGTGCTTCGTTATGAGCTCCATTCAGTGGTCCTAACACAAGGCAATGACAGCATTGTTGCCGACGTACAGAACTGGAGGAGAATGAGGCCTCTCTCCAAAGTCGGTCAGCAGGTAGGTGAGCCAGCGTAACTCCAGTGCAGCCATGGCGGTGGCGCAGATCTCAACCTCACAACTGGAGCTGAGAACAGAAGACGAGCAGGTAGACCACCAAGAAACAGAGCCATAGCCAAGGCTGAACGTATAACCCCGTGATGATCGCTGCGTAGCCAGGTCGTCAACCCAAGAAGCGTCGGAGTACCCAGTGAGGACAACTGAGCTCCGCCCTCCAAGCACGAGCCCCATGCCCGATGTACTGCACAAGTAGCGCAGTACCCTCTTCGCAGCATCCATGTGCACCTTTTGGTGCCTACCAGGAGCCACGTAGCGTGCCAAAAGGCCAAGAGGGTACGCAAGGTTAGGACGAGTGCAGGTCATCAGGTACATGAGGCAGCCCACTAGCTCTGGGTACGGACCACTCGGCTCTACGAACTCGTCCAAAGGTGGAGCTGAGAGCAAGTAACCTGTAGCCAGGGGAGTGGACTATGGCAAGGACCAAGTGAAGCCAAATGGCTGAAGGACCTGGTGCACCATGTGTGACTGAGTCAGGGTGATGGTGCGGCGTGCCCTATTCCGGGTGATTTGCAAGCCAAGGTAACTGCGCAGCTCACCCAGGTCTGTGCACGTGTGTCTCTTCTGCAGCTCCGACTACGCAAGGGCGAGAGTCTCAGTGTCAGCAGTGGCAAAGACCAAGTCGTTGACGTACACGAGGGTGTAGAGCGGCGGGATTAAATTGTCGGTGCGCAGAAACAGCGACGAGTCAGCAGTGGAAGGTGCAAACCCAGAGCCGCAAGTGTCGTCCTCAGTGTGTCGTGCCACTCACGAGGCGCCTGACGGAGACCGTAGACTGGCCGACGGAGGCTCCACTGGGTACCAGGAGGGAACGACCTAGTGAAGCCAGGTGGGCAGCGCAACCAGATCTCCTCGTGAAGACTGCCCTGTAAGATCGCTATGCTGAAGTCCAGAGAGTGAAGCTCGTAGTCACGCTGAGCGGCAACATGCAGCAGCACCCTAAGAGTGGTCATCTTCAAGGTGGGGGAGAAGGTCTGGAAGAAGTCAACACCCTGTCGCTGACTGAAGCCTCATGCAACGTAACGAGCCTTGAAGACAGGCGAAGAAGCCGGCGACCGCTTCACCCTGAAAATCCACATGCCATCGACGATGTTCGCCCCAGGATGGGGAACCTCATCAACGTAAGTGCCTGTGGACTTCCAGGATGCCATCTCTGTGTCCATGGCTGTCTGCCACTAAGAGGAGTAGGGACCCGCGATCGCCTCAGCGTAAGAGCGCGGGGTCGGGATGTTTGGAGCATTCGGGTCTCCCTCAGGGGAAAGCAGCATGGCCATGAGATGAGGCGCAGCGGCTGCAAGTCACTCAAAGTCCTCCTGCATGTCCTCAAGGACGTTAGTGCCAAGAGCAGACTCACCCCCGACGGACGGAGGTCAGACAGACTCAGACTCAGCAACAAGACTAGCAGCGTAGTTTAGACGACAGGTAGCAGCAAAGTCAACAAGCTTAGAGACTAAGGGAGACGCAGCAGCAGACTCAAATGACAGGTCAGTGACAACAGTGGCAAGCAAACGCGTGACAGTAGGGTGAGGAGCACAAACCAGGTCAGACTCAGGGTCCTAAACGTCAGGTAAAGAAGACGCAGGAGGAGACGGTAGGGGAACATGCTATGGAACAGAGGAAGGACGAAGTGCCATAGCGTGCGTGCCAGGGACGGGAGGAGGACGCTCACGAGAAACATGACGACCAGTACGACCAGCACGAACAGGCGAGGCAGGACGAGACGCACGCTCACGACGCTCTGTAAGCAAGTCTGTCTGCTCAGTGCAAGGAGAAGGAGCAGGCAGTGGTGCGCCGGGCTGTAACGGGAGGCCTCTGGAAGATGGGAGGCTAAGAACCTGGCGAAGCACAGAGTCAAGTGGTGGCAGAGACGATGGTAACGGCGGAGGAAAAATAGTCGCGATGGTGTAGTGCCACCAATACTAGTAGCTCCAGCGCCTCCAGCAGCAGCACCTCTAGCTCCAGTGACTCCAGTAGCAGCACATCCAGCTCCAGTGCCTCTAGCAGCTCCAGTAGCTCCAGCAGCCCCCGAACCTCCAGCTCTAGCGACTCCGGCAGCAGCACCTCCAGCTCCAGCGCCTCCAGCTGCAGCATCTCTAGCTCGAGGGACTCCAGCAGCAGTACCTCCAGCCCTAGCGCCTCCAGCAGCTCTTGAACCTCCAGCTCCAGCGCCACCAGTAGCAGCACCCCAAGAACCGGAACCTTCAGCCTCAAGGTCCTCAACTCCCAGGTCGACGGGACCAGCGCCAAGGCCTCCAGCAGCAGCACCCCCAGAACCGGCACCTCCAGCTCCAGGGTCTCCAACGCCAGGGTCGACAACACCAGCTCCAGGGCCTCCAGTCCCAGTACCTCCAGCAGCAGCTGTCTGATTTATCTGACATAGCTACTGTAGGCTTGAGTGGGGTAGCACATATGGGGTACAGCTTTCTAGGGTTTGTACTTGTACCCAAGTTTCCCTTAGTCATTTCATTCTCATTCATTTTCTCATGGTATCGAGCAAGTTCCCCTGTGGGAACTGTTCCTAGGGCCCACCACCTTTTTTTTTCCTGCCCGGAGCGCGCTCTACACTGCCCGAGTCGCGCTCCCCTCTCACGGCCCCGTCGCGCCGCCCTTTTGACCCTGTTGTGCCGCCTTAGCGGCCCCGTTGAGTCGCGCTTACGGCCCCATCGCATCGCCCTCACGGCCCCTTCACGTCGCGCCGCCCTAGCGGCCGCGTCGCGCCGCCCTCGCGGCCCCGATCCGCCGCCCTCGCGGCTCCGTTGCGTCGCGCCGCCCTTGCGGCCCTTTCGCACCGCCCTCGCGGCCCTTTTGTGCCGCCCTCGCGGCCTCTTCAACCCGCCCTCGCGACCCCCCCCCCCCCCCCCCCCCCCCCCCCCTCCTTGCCGCCCTAGCGGCCCCGTCGCCTACCCCTACGGCCCCGGCGCCGCCCTTCCCTGCCTCGGCGCCGCCTTTGCTGGCCCTGTCGCCAAATCCTGCGGCCCCGGCGCTGCCCTTCCCGGCCCCGGCGCTGCCTCTACTGGCCTCGACGCCGCTCCACCCGGCCTCGCCGCCGTCCCCACGCGGACCCGCCGTCACCACCGAGCCGCCGGCCCCGCCGAGCTGCTGCCGAGCCGCCCGATCCACCCGAGCCGCCCGAGCCGCCGCGCCACCTGAGCCGCCCGAGCCACCGGGACGCCAAGCCGCAGTACCGCGGAGCCGCCTGAGCCGCCCGAGCCGGCGAGTCGCCGAGCCGCAGTTGCTCTCGAGCCGCCGTACCCCCAAGCCGCCCTGTCCGGTAAGAGCAGCCCCTCTGTCACTGCACTGCCCTTACCCTACTATTCGCGCTGCTACCCTACTGCTGTCATGGCTACCCCTAGTGTCCTCGCTTCTGACGCTGAGGGTCGGGCCATTGACTTTGACGTCTGGGTAGATGACCTGCAGCTTTTCCTACAGTACGATAGGGCAGACAGTCTCTCCCTCTTTGACCTCACCTCTGGTGCCTCTCCTGCCCCTGCTGCTGATGCCGACGCCACTGTTCGCTCACAGTGGGCCACACGCGATGCTGCTGCACGTCTTGCTGTGCGTCGCCACCTACCTACCTCTGAGCGTGCGCACTTTAGCCAGTACAAGAGTGCTCAGACCTTGTACGACGCTGTAGTTGCCCGCTACTCCTCCCCTGCCACTGCTGCACTGAGCCGCCTCATGCTACCGTACCTCTTCCCTGACCTTGCTGCCTTTCCCACAGTGGCTGACCTCATTACGCACCTCCGCACTAGTGACACTCGCTACCACGCTGCGCTTCCTGCTGAGTTCTGCGCCAAGAACCCCCCCCCCCATGTACATCACCCTCTACTACATAGTCACCCGGCTCCCTGACTCCCTTCGCGTAGTCAGGGACCACTTCCTCTCAGTTTGCCCCACCACTCTCACCGTTGACCTCCTCGAGAAGGCCCTCCTAGCAGCAGAGAAGAGCATAGTCGCTGTAGGAGCCTCTCGTGGTGACCCTCGCACCCCCCTTTTTGAGGGGTGTTCCCCCTCCCCCCTTTTGCCCTCTGTTGCCTCTACTGCTGCGGCCGACCTCGTTGGTTTCAAGTCGGTTGGCGCTGCGTCTGCCCGAGCGGGAGACGCCACACCGGCAAGGGCAAAGGGGGTAAGGGTGCTGGAGGGGCTCGCGTGGGTGGCGGAGGTGGCGGTGGAGGCAGTGGAGGGGGTGGGGGTGGTGGTGGGAGTGGTGGCGGGGGTGGAGGTGTCGGTGGCGGCAGTGGAGGCCGCGGCGGCGGTGGCGGTGGGAGCGGAGGTGGCGGCGGTGAAGGAGGCGGCGGCGGAGGAGGTGGTCAGCGCCAGCAGAAGCAGTAGCAGCAGCGCACTCGTGACATCCCCCCCCCTCAGCAGATCCATCAGTGGTACGCTGCACGCCAGCGGGGTGGGAGTACTGGTCCGTGCACCTACGTCCTACGCACCGGCGACTGGGCGGGTGAGCAGTGCGGCGGTGCGCACTCCACCCAGCGCTGCTTTGGCCGCCTTACGGACGCTTGGCACCACCAGTTCCCTGAGGCCACTGAGATCCCTCGCTGGGGCGAGCTGTCTAGGGCGGGAGTAGCTATCTTTGACCTTGACTTTGATGCTACCGGTGTTTTCCGCCCGACCCGGGCATTGAGACTGCCGCTCTAGGTACTGGTGAGGCTGCTGCTCTAGGTGCTAGGGAGGCTGTTGCTCTAGGTGCCAGTGCGTCTGCTTCCTCAGGTGCTGGTGAGTGTGCTCTCTCAGGTACCGTGTCGACTTCAGCCTCCCACACCTTCAACCTTGACTCGGGGGCTTCTCGCTCCTTCTATCGAGACCGCACCACACTCACGCCGCTTGGTCGGCCAGTTGCAATCTCTCTGGAAGACCCCTTTGGGGGTCCTGTCCTTGCTCACTTCTCCACTGTCCTCCCGTGTCCGGCGGCCCCCTCTGGCACCCTGTCTGGTCTTTACCTCCCCTCGTTCTCTACGAACTTGGTGAGTGGCGCTGACCTTCAGGATGGGGGATTTCATCAGTTCACTCCTGCGAGTCAGCGGGTGACCCACTGCACGGACGCTCGGACAGGCCGACACCTGGCCACGTTTACACGTCGGCCGGGGTCGAGCCTGTACACACTGACCACTGAGTCTCCTCTGGTCACTGCGTCTGGTCAGGTAGCTGCGTCAGGTCAGGTGTTTGCTGCAGCGTCCAGGTCTGGTCCTGAGTCTGCCCCCTGCTCGTGTCGCCTCCTGTCTCACGAGACTCTCCTCTGGCACCACCGCTATGGTCACCCCTCCCTACTTCGTCTCCGAGGCATGGCCTCCCGTCTCCTTGTCTCTGGTCTTCCCCGGTCCCTCCCTCCCCTTCCTCCGGGGCCTGCCTCTGCTTGCGTCCCTTGTGTCGAGGGGCGGCAGCAGGCTGCCCCTCACTCCTCCCAGTTTCCTCCGACAGAGGCCCCGCTGCAGACGCTTCACATGGACGTGTGGGGCCTGGCCCGCGTCCGTGGACAGGGTCATGAGCACTACTTCCTACTCCCAGGGTCTCCATGCCGGAGACCTCCCCAGCTTTGCTTTGGACGGGGAAGGTTGGCGATGCGTCTGCGTTCCGTGTCTGGGGATCTCGGGCGTTTGTCCGCGACTTGTCTGCGGACAAGCTGTCCCGTCGTGCTGCTCCCTGCGTCTTCCTTGGCTTCCCCCCTGACGCGCCAGGGTGGCAGTTCTACCACCCCACCTCTCGCTGTGTTCTGTCCTCCTCGGACGTCACGTTTGACGAGTCGGTCCCCTATAACCGCCTCTTCCCCTACCGCACTCCGTCCCTCCCCCCGCCACCGCTCTTCCTTGTGCCAGGTCCCCCCCCCGGTAGACCCCCTCCCCCCTTAGGGTCCTGCCCCTTCAGGTGTGTCCTAGGTAGATGCAGTCGAGCCTGTCGAGGTTACTGGTGACTTTGGTGCTGGTGGGGGTGCTGAGCCTGGGGGTACTGACTCTAAGCGTGCTGAGTGTGTGGGGGCTACGCCTGGGGGTGCTGAGCCTGAGGGTGCTACTACTGGGGGTGTTGATCCTAAGGGTGCTGGGCCTGGGGGTGCTACGCGTGTGGGTGCTGAGCCTGGGGGTGCTTTGACTGGGGGTGCTGAGCCTGGGGGTGCTGAGCCTAGGGGTGCTACGACTGGGGGTGCTGAGCTTGGGGGTGCTATGCCTGGAGGTGCTGAGCCTGGGAGTGCAAAGCGTGAGGGAGCTGGGCCTCCTCGTGTCGCGTCTGGCGGTACTGTGCTTGGAGCCACTCTCTCCACAGGAGCTGCGTGAGTGGTTTGCCCGGCGCTGGAGGCGTGCTGCTGGAGCTAGAGGTTCTTTGACTGCTGAGGGTGCTGGTTGCGTGGGTCCTGGAGGTGCTCGTATTGGGAGTACTGGAGCTGCTGGACCTGCGGGTACGACTGGAGCTGGAGCTGCTGAGGGTGCTGGCGCTAAGGCCACTGCTGTCGGTCCTGGAGGCGGTCCTGCTAGGGGTGCTACTGGTGCTGCTAGAGGTACTGGAGCTGGAGGTGCTGCTGGTGCTCGTGCTACCACTGGGGGTACTGGTGCTGTCCCTGCTGTGTCTAGAGTCGCCACGCGGCCCCGGCCGTACTTCGTTCCGCTCATTCAGCAGGTTCTTGGTCTCCCGCCTTCTACTGGTCCTCCTCCTCCCTTAGAGTGTCCACAGCCTGTCCCGTCACAGTTCCAGTTACAGCCGGCCTCCCAAGTGCCTGCTCCTTCTCCCTACACTGGTCCTACTGGAGGTCTTGCTGAGCATCGTGAGCCTGCGTCTCTCCCTGCATCGCCTGTCCGTGCTGCTCGCACTAGTGGTCGTAGTTCACATCAGCGTCCTCCTCCTGTCCCTGGCATGCACCGGATGTCTCTGCGTCCGTCCACTGCTCCTCTGCGTGCCTCTTTGCCTTCTCCTCCTTAGTCCTCTCTTCCTGCTCTTGCCGACCCGGAGTTGGACTCTCTTCGTGCTGCCAGTCCTACTGTCACGCGTCTCCTTGCTACTGTCGCCACTGACCCTTCCTTTGAGTCCACTGCTGCGTCTGCCCTAGTTGCTGAGCTCGTCGACTTTGCTGCTCGCTCTCGTCTAGACTACGCTGCTAGTCTTGTCGCTGAGTCTGAGTCTGTCTGTCCTCCGTCCGTCAGGGGTGAGTGTGCCCTTGGCACGGACGTCCTTGAGGACAGGCAGGAGGAGTTCCAGTGTTTGGCTGCTGCTTCACCTCATCTCCTGTCCGTACTGCTTACCCCTTAGGGAGACCCGGATGCACTTGACATCCGACTCCGCGCTCTTACGCGGAGGCGATAGAGGGTCCCTACTCCTCTCAGTGGCAGGCATCTATGGACACAGAGATGGCTTCCTGGAAGTCCACAGGCACCTACGTTGACGAGGTTCCCCCTCCTGGGGCGAACATCGTCAGTGGCATGTGGATTTTCAGGGTGAAGCGGCCGTCGCGTTCTCCACCTGTCTTCAAGGCGCGTTACATGGCTCGTGGCTTCAGTCCGTGGCAGGGAGTTGACTACTTTCAGACCTTCTCTCCCACCCCGAAGATGACCACTCTTCGGGTACTTTCAGACCGCGACTACGAGCTGCACTCTCTTGACTTCAGCACTGCTTTCTTGCAGGGCAGCCTGCATGAGGAGATATAGCTGCGTCGCCCACCTGGCTTCACTGGGTCTTTTCCTCCTGGCACCCAGTGGAGCCTCCGGCATGCAGTCTACGGTCTCTGCCAGACACCGCGTGAGTGGCACGACACACTGAGGACTACACTTGCGGCTTTTGGGTTTGCTCCCTCTACTGCCGACCCGTCGCTGTTTCTGCGCACCGACACTTCTTTGCCGCCGTTCTACATCCTCGTGTACGTCGACGACTTGGTCTTTGCCACAGCTGACACTACTGGACTCGCACACGTGAAGTCCGAGCTGAAGAAGAGACACACGTGCACAAACCTGGGTGAACTACGCAGCTACCTTGGCTTGCAGATCACCCGGGACAGAGCACGCCGCACCATTACCCTGACTCAGTCACACATGGTGCAGCAGGTCCTTTAGCGCTTCGGCTTCACGTACTCCTCGCCTCAGGCCACTCCTCTGCCTACTCGCCACTCGCTCTCAGCTCTGCCTTCGGATGAGTCCGTAGAGTCAAGTGGCCCGTACCCAGAGCTTGTTGGCTGCCTCATGTACCTGATGACCTGCAAACGACCTGACCTTGCATACCCTCTTAGCATTCTCGCACGCTATGTTGCTCCTGGGAGACACAGACCGGAGCACATGGCTGCAGCGAAGAGGGTGTTGCGCTACTTGTGCAGTACGTCGCGCATGGTGCTTGTGCTTGGAGGGCAGAGTCCAGTGGTCCTCACTGGGCACGCAGACGCTTCTTGGGCTGACGACCAGGCTACGCAGTGGTCGTCACACGGTTACACCTTCAGCCTTGGTTCCGGCTCTGTTTCGTGGCGGTCTACCCGCTCGTCTTCTGTTCTCGGCTCCAGTTGTAAGGCTGAGATCTACGCGGGGGCCATGGCTGCACAGGAGCTTTGCTGGCTCATCTACCTGCTGAGTGACCTCGGAGAGCCACCTCGTTCTCCTCCAGTGCTGTACGTAGACAACAAGGCCATGCTGGCCTTGTGTCGAGAGCAGAGACTGGAGCACAGAACGAAGCACATCGCTCTCCGCTACTTCCTTGCTCGTGAGCTACAGTAGCGTGGTCAGCTGCGGCTTGCGTACGTAACCTCTGAGGCCAACACTGCTGATATCTTCACCAAGGCACTTGCGCCTTATGATCATCAGCGCATCTGTACTCAGCTGGGTCTTGTGCCTACCTTACCTCACTTGCTCACCACTTGACCTTGTTTGTACTGTACCATATATATATACACCTGCTCTTGCTTGTCTAGCCTTGTGTATATATGTAATCCTGCATGTGAACTGGCCTTGTGGCCTTGAACTTGTGCTCGGAATGTGTGGTGACTTTGTGATCCACCCTGAGCTTGCTTTGCTTTGCTTGACTAGTCTTTTGACCCCTTGTTCTCCCCCACTTTGCCTATGGGGGTGTGTCAGATTTATATGACATAGCTACTGTAGGCTATAGTGTGGTAGCACATATGGGGTACAGCTTTCTAAGGTTTGTACTTGTACCCAACTTTCCCTTAGCCATTTCATTCTCGTTCATTTTCTCAGCAGCACCCTCAGAACTGGCACCTGCAGCTCCAGGGTCTCCAACGCCAGGGTCAACAGCACCAGCTCCAGGGCCTCCAGCCTCAGTACCTCTAGCAGCAGCACCCCCAAAGCTGACACGTCCAGCTCCAGGAGTAGTACCAGTCCCAGCTGCTCCAGTACCTCGAGTACGAGCACCTCAAAGACCAGAGACACCAGCACTCCCAGCTCCTCCACAACAAGCAGCTCCAGTAGCACGACTCCTTAGGCGAGTATGCGACGCAAGCCACTCTTGTGCCTGATGTGGTGAGACAGGCCTGCTTTGTGAAACGAGACCCAGAGGAGCATTAGCAGACTCAGCACCCCCAGGCTCCGTACCCCCCGGCACCTCACGGACGGGCTCAGCACCCTCAAACTCCGCAGCCGCAGGCTCAGC